CACAGTCTCCTTCCACCGTGTTACTGGGTACAGCCTGTATCGTAGTTAGGGATTCGCATGGAAACGAACAAATTATCCGTACGTTGTTAGACAGCGGATCCCAGAGTAGCCTTATAACGCGGCAATATTGTCGGCGTTTAGGATTGCCAATAAATAAGATACTTTCATGTCCCGTAGTCAAAGGCATCGGAGGTACTAATAAAATTACCCAGGGCTCTATAAATTTGAAATTTTATTCTCGGCTAGATCGTAATATTAACTTTAACATAAATGCATTAGTAGTAGATAAAGTAACCGAGCGTCTGCCAACCGTTTCGGTCGACACCTCGGCAATGATTGATTTTGAAAATTTGACTCTGGCAGACGATACTTACGCTGTCCCCGGGGATATAGACATGCTCATTGGAGCATTGTTTTTCCCTCATCTTTTGTTACACAATAAGGTCAGGGGCAACTCCTCGCATACCGCGCCTTACGCACTGGAAACCGTCTTGGGCTACGTCATCGTTGGCTCCGCCCCTATCATGGATAATATTTCGGCAACCTCTTATTGTTGTATGGCTGTCGAACCGCTCGAGTCGTTAGTTCGCAAATTTTGGGAGATGGAGGAGGTGAACGTTCCACCTATAGTTAGCCCAAATGATAGATTATGCGAGGAAATTTACTTCCGCACGACCGTTCGTGATCGCGACGGTCGATATAGTGTAGCGCTACCCTTTAAAGGAGATGTTTTATCTCTCGGAAACTCGCGTCAAATGGCGGAAAAACGGTTCTATTGTTTGGAGCGTAGGATGCTCGCTTCGCCCAGATTAAAGGAAGCTTATGACGGCGTCATTAATGAATATATATGGTAGGGTTACATATCACTTGTGGCTCCAAAATTAGATAACTACGAAGACGCGCCGTCGTATTTCATACCACATCACGGGGTCATTAGGGAAGACAAACTTACGTCCAAGTTACGTGTAGTGCTCGACGCTAGTGCTAGAACTAGCACTCACCTTTCTCTTAACGATATCCTCTATAGTGGGCAAAATTTACAGGGCAATTTATTTATTATAATAGCAAATTTTAGTTTGTTCAGTAAAGCACTATCCGCAGATATTCGCCAAATGTTTCTTTGCATAAAGGTCCGTGAATACGACCGTCGATTTCAACGCATTTTATATCGCTTTGACCCAAAGGAACCTCTAATGGTGTTTGAATTTAATCGCGTTTGCTTTGGTTTAAAGTCGAGCCCATTTCATGCGCTACGTACGGTGAGACAGCTCGCCGCCGATGAAGGTCCCTCTTATTCTAGAGCTAAGAGGGCAATTGAGAGTGGATTATATATGGATGATTTTGCGTACTCGGTCGATAGCGTGGAGGAGGCCATCCTAACCACCGCCGAGATTATAAAGCTCATGAAATAGGGTCAATTAGATCTCGTCAAGTGGACTAGTAATTCGCGTACGGTTTTAGATACAATCCCACTATCACACCGCCATTCGGCGATAAAGGAATTCGACGATTCTGATACGCACAATGTGCTCGGTTTGTGTTGTTCCCTGGAGTCCGACGTGTTTAGCCTTAAGGTAAACCCGCCCACAGAAAAGTGCACAAAGCGCACAATGCTGTCATGCGTTGCTAGATTATGGGATGTCATGGGTTTCGTAGCCCCGGCGGTGCTATACGCTAAGCTTTTGATTAAACAACTTTGGTTATGTGAATGCGATTGGGATGATCCGCCGCCTGATAGCATTGTTCGGTTGTGGCTGCGTTTTAGAGAGGAACTTCCTTTACTAAGCGAAATTAAAATACCACGTCATATAAACGTCGATAGAAATAGCGTCATCACTGTCGTTGGGTTTGCAGAAGAGAAGGCTTACGGGGGCGTTGTATATTTTCACGTCCAGAATAATGGTAGAAATTCGATCAGCCTCATTAGCTCTAAGTCAAGAGTCTCCCCCCGTAAGGTTGTCTCTCTCGCGCGCTTAGAGCTTTGCGCGATATTAGTCCTTGCCAAGCTTATCACCGCAGTTATCAGTGCATGTAGTGACAGAGTTCACATAGAAAGAATATTTGCATTTTCTGACTCAACCGTGGCCTTATGTTGGGTTCATTCTTCACTCCACCGTTGGGATACGTTTGTCGCGAACCGAGTGGCCAAGATCCAAGACTAGTTTGACAGGAACACGCAACTTTTATCACGTGTCCAGTACGGAAAACCATGCCGATTGTCTATGCCGTGGACTCACCCCGATGCAAATAATGGACCATCCGCTTTGGTTCCACGGACCTTCTTGGGTTCACTCGCAGTGGCCAATAACCGATTTCGACCCTTCGTCAGTGTCCCAACCACCGGAAGAGAAGAGGCACGCTCTGGTGGCGAACGTTTCGAGCGAGGTTTCTCCAATCATTGCTTTGGCGAACCGTTTGTCCTCTTGGTCGAAATTATTGCATAGCGTAATTTACGTTTGTCGATTCGCGAAGCTTTTACCTCGACGTTCGTATATCGTATCGTCCGATTACAGCTATGCCGAGTTGCTAGTATTGTGTGAACTTCAACGTGCACATTTTTCCGATGAAATTACAAGATTATAATCGAATAGAACTTGTAGTCGCGCTTTTCAACGTCTTAAACCATTTTTACAAGATGGAATCGTCAGGGTAGGTAGGCGCTTGTCTAACTCGCAGTTGAGTTCCGACCAACGGCACCCTATAGCTTTACCGCGTAAAGACCATATCATGAATTTATTAGTTGATTACCACCATAAATTGAATTCTCACGCTGGCCCCGACCTGCTGATGTCAATCTTGCGTCAGAATTATTGGATTCTTTCAGCACGTAATTTAATCCGCAATAGGGTGCACAGATGTATAGCTTGCTTTCGAGTACGTCCTAAGCCGTCATTTCCGGAAATGGCGGACCTTGGGTCTTGTCGTTATGCTCTATACAACGTTCCATTCGCTTAAACCTTAAACCAACTCTGAAAACACTTTTGCCTGTCTTGATCTGACAGGTCGGAAATCGCTTCTTTGTGGGCTTCTTCGGCGTTTGACAAAAACTTGCCTTTTATTTTTTCTTTGACTCTTGGGAACAAAAATAAATCACAACGTAAGCCCAAGTGACTTAAAGTTTCAACACCAGATTTCTCAATAAATGCTTTCGTTCTAAGGGAGATATGTAAAGAGGCGTTATCGTGATGAAGCCCAGACTTTGGTCTTCTCTCCCGCACAGCTTGAAAAGCTTTGGGTAATGCAACTGTAGTATATCATTTAGAGTTGACTGACCTACAATTTTCCAGCATTGACGTCGATAAATGGCCGCTCCGCAAAAAAAAAACTAGCCACCATTTTTTGCCGACATTGCGAGGTCTTTGCAGTTTTGTCGGTAATTGTCCTTCTGTAGTAGTAGACCCATACCGATTATTAATTTTCCGGATCATATTGATAGACCCATCTCGCCACTAGTAACGATTTCTGAAACACGACTAGATGCCGCGTTTTCAAAACGTAGACGTATTTCATGGCACCTATCCACACGAGTCTGTTTTTCGCTTTCGGATAACAAACGAGGGATCCATCGACAACAAAGCTTCCTCACTCCAAGATGTTGATGTAGGATGGTATGAATGCTCCCCCGAACTAATGCCTACAATCTTTTCGATGTCCGTGATGTGATTCGTGGGTCTTCTCGCACCAACATTTCAGTAGTCCATACATTTTCTGTCGTTACTACTGTTTGCGGGGCCCCGGTTCTTTGGTCATCTTTAAGGTTCATTTTACCCCTTTTGAATTCAGCTAACCCCTAAAAATTGTTGCGCGTGATGGAGCTGAGTCCCCTAATGCTGATTATAACCGTTGTAAATTTAATGTTCGGTTAAACCAAATTTAAAATCATAATAGAACATAGCGCGCAAATGTTCACGGTTAAAATCCGTCGTTTTAAATGAAACGCGCGGAAGCGTTGCAGGAAAATTAATAGAACTTTGTTTTTTTTTTTATATTGAACAATTGGCTTATGGAGTTCTATTTTTAAATAAATTTGCTTTTAAGAAACATAGTATAACACGGGTGAGTACCATTTTTAAATTTCGAGGATCCCAAAATTCATTGAGTGACCTACGCATCATTCGGCCCCTAGTTAAACATAAAAAGGCTAAGTTATTAACTGAAAGGCTGATTAAGCCAGATGACTGCGACATATGTAAGCTAATTGCTTAGTAAACTGGTAACTAACAATTTCAGTTTTTACAATGTCAGTTTCTATTCGGACGTTTACTCTTCTTTTTACCCTTCGTGTTTATATCTATAGTTGCTGTTTCATTGGTACAACAGTTGTAATAACTAATACTAAAGTGGTATTATTTGTACCTCATATGTATATCTTTCTCACACTTAATAAGTTTATGGAGTATATCTTTTACGTTATAGGAAACTTTAAGGTTTTACATAACTTTTAGTAAGGCTCAATGACTACGTTTTTATTCAAGGAATATATTTTTCGAATGCTCCTCCCCACACTCGGATGCAGTAGGGCAGTATTGATTCAACAAGAGCTGTATAAACTATATGTGTGGTATGTGTTTTATGACGGGTATACTAATTACATATTAATAACTAAATCCAACTTGCGATAAGAAACATGTACTAAAAAGGTATTTAACAAGACTACAATGTCAATTAATTGAAGCAGACAATGCATGGTGCAGCATAATATGTCACCCATACATGCACATTACACGCACATTGGTGTATTTTGATTTTGGTCTCGCCGTAATCAGTTCATCGCCAATCTACAGTCCCTGGCCAAATTATTAGACGCACTGCAAGATTTCATGTAAAATATTGATTACCGAGTGATATTGTACCATTTTATTATTTTAAATTGATTTGTTTTTTATTTTTATATTATCCAATCAATTACCTATTTATTTGACATAAATAAAACAGCATTAATTTAGAAAAGAGTAAGTTTATTAAATTTTAAAGAAAAGTGAAATTAATGCTAGTAAAAGTCAATATTTAGTTGAGCCACCTTTAGCCGCTATCAAAGCTTTAATTCTGCGCGGCATGCTATCAATGCAAGACTGTACTGTCTCCTGCATTTGAGGATGATGATTCCACACATAAATAATCTTTTCTAGGAGCTGGGTTTTGTTGGTAATCACATCTTTAGCCACTTCTCTTTTCATCAGCTCCCACACATTTTCAATGGGGTTCATATCAGGGCTATTACCGGGCCAATCCAACAGAGGGATATTTTTTTCTGCCAAAAAAGCTTTAACAGACCGAGCAGTGTGGCAGGGAGCTCCATCTTGCATGAAAGTGAATGGTTCCCCATTTGGAAACCATTCTCTGAGCTGCGGAATCAACCGATTTTCCAGTACTTCTTTATACTGATCTTGCCTCATTATTCCTTTGACGACGTACAGACGTCCAGTGCCCTTGCCGCTGATGGCTGACCAAATCATCACTTTGGTGGGATATTTAACCGTCGGGACGACACAATCAGGATGAAACTTTTCTCCATGACGACGACGCACATACTGAGCTTTATTTTGTAAAATTTCGAATGTGCTTTCGTCACTGAAGCAGACCTGTCAAAAATAGGAAAAAATATATAAACTTCCATGTTTATTTGCTTTATTTAACTGAAAATGATAACAATGTATCAATTTTTGATTAAATTGCTGTATCTTACCGATCTCCAGAAGTCCACATCTTTGTCTTGCCATTGTTTGGCCCACTTCAGGCGCTTTGCTTTCATTGCAGCTGTTAACTTGGGCTTCCTGGCGGGGCGACAAGCCTTGAAATCTAATTCTTTCAATTTTCTTCGAACAGTGCGCTCAGAAGCATTTACGCTAGCATCCTGGAGTTGTGATTTTATTACCTTTGTGGTAGCAAATCTGTTTTGTAGACAAATTTTCTTCAAACATCTCTCTGACCGTGGAGTGAAAATTGGTTTTCTACCGCATCTTTTCTTTCTTTTCGGGCTTAATTCCTCCCCTGACTCAATTTTCTTTTTTATGCGTCGTACACTACATTCAGAAACCTTCAATCTTCGTGATATTTCTCGGTTTGTAAATGTTTTCGCAATCACAAGGGCCTTCACTTCAGCTTTTTTACGTGGTGAAAGATCGCATTTTCTACCCATAATGAAAATAATCCAATTACTTTTTTAAAACACTGCATACAAAATAAACTAATAACTGAGTAGTATAAAACTGTTAAACAAACAATCACTGTCCATAAAGCCACAAAAACACGTTCGTACCTGATTCGATTCCGATCGCGACTGATACAGATTTGTACTTGTTTACGTTCATGTATCACTTTGTCAACACAGTGTTGCCATATGTTAAAAATAAATACAAATATGTAGTCTACAACAATTCTTTTAAATAAAAATCAATAATATTGTAGTTTAAATATACCATTATTGCATAAAAACTCTTAAGAAACATAAAATTACTAAAAAAATACAGTGCGTCTAATAATTTGGCCAGGGACTGTATACTATACTAAATCTATGATCAATAAGATTGAAGTGTCTCTTTGTAATGTTAGATTAACAGCTTTTACTAAATGCATATGAAGGTATATATGGAACTTGTAATAAAAAACAATTATGAAAAGTTTTGTCTGTCTGTTAGTTCGATGTAATCTCCAAAAAGGTTGGACCGATTTTGACGGGACTTCCACTGGCAGATGAGCTGATGTTATAAGGAGTAACGTGGATGAGTATAAAAAAAATATTGTAGAAAATGAAAAATTAAAAAACTAAAACTGGGAAGGGAGGGCAAGAAGGATCCATTAAGGTTGAATAATAAAAAACGTTCTATAATCAGACAACATGTAATGAAAATTAAAAAGAAAACCAAGCTCTGGTTAATAATACTTAAAAAGAAAATTAAAAGTGACATGAAAATCAACACCTTCGGTGTCATTTAATTTTTTTTTTAAAGTCTCTTAAGTATCCGTTTTGCCCTATTAGTGTAGGTAAAACGGATTTATTTCGAGGGCAAAATGGGTATATCCCTTAGCATTCGGAAACTAATCGCTACAAAGATCACAAAAATAGGAACCATGTCCCGAATATGACGAACAACTCTCATGCGTCCATTCGCGACATTGAGAACATTCAATCCAGTCTTCTATTCTCGTACACAACTCTTTACACACAATACAATAATATTGTTTTTCTTCATTTTTTTACCTCGTTTATCTTTTCTGCACATTTTTTCTTTAACTTCGAACAGGCTTTTTCTCTTGCTGGTAGTTGACTTCTTTAGTCCAGATACAGAAGCTCCAAGGTTTATTTTAAAACAGTTTTTTTTTTAATTTATTTTCTTGTATGGTTTTTATAGGAATTGCTGTTTAATATTTCTGATTTTTGTGATTTTCTAGCCCTACTTAGTTTTTTAAACTGTTGCTGGGGCAATGGATGAATTTTTTTGATTATTTCAACACTGGATGCAGTAAAACAATGAATGGCTTGTGGTATAGCTAATGTAGAAACGGGTGTGTGTGGTACTGTCAACGTAGATTGTGTCTTTCCTGGAGTCTTCGAAACAATTGTTGTTGGGTCCGTAGGAATTATCTCGTGAGTGTGTACGTGTGCCAAAATGAATGGTGTCGTCACAGCTGGTAGAGTAAGTTCATCTGGTGGTATAGTGGACAGAATGGGTGGTGTTTCTGAGTCATGTGGTATGGCGAACGTATCTGTAGTCATAGGTGAAACAGTCGGTTATAATTGAAAAGATGTTGGAGTCCCGTGGTTTTCGCCTTCAGAGTGTGAAATTGATGTCTCGTAGATTGTAGAAGGTGCAAACAGCGTTTCATCTATCACATTTCTATCGTACGGATAAATGCCGGCTGCTCTAAATCCGCTCATGGCGTTTTGTGGTGTTGCTACTTTTAAGTAAGCAGGTGTAATGAGACATACAATGGAGAAGATAACAAGGTTACAATATTAGACTTTTAAGTACGTAGGTAAAAAGTTTAGACCAAACACATAATTCTAGTTTTTATTTTACATCGATCGGTGCACTATTACCGAAGTTATAAGCGTGGAAAGTTTACGTAGATTTTTAAAATCTCGCCCGTGCCCGCGAGTAGCGCGTGACGTCATCGATTCCATGCGGCCGCGCCGCCATACCGTTCCAGCGTACCGATCATACGTTTGTAGTAATATTTCGCGGGTGAGTTGTTTGCCCTCGTGCGCTCTGGTGTTTTTAAGTATTTAATGATGGAAGAAGGGTTTGAAAAGGGTCAATCTGACAACCTTCCAATAGTCCGTAACATGATGGTGGCGGAATATTTTCTAAGAAACAAAGATTTTGTCGCGACTGATATACGCATAAGAATAAGATAATATTTTTATAAACTAGGTACCCATTATTACATTAATACTTCTGGGTTTCATTTGCTAATGATAAGAATAGGTATAACAAAAATACGTAAACATTCCTTACCTACCTACTTACTATCTGCCTCTAACTAGTTTTGTTTTCTTATTATTCTTAAGTGCACCCTGACCTTTTTGTGGTTTTTATGGTTAAAAAAATTTCCTGTTGTTTATAAAGAAATTTACTACAAATATACCTTCGGTGCGTAAAAATATGATTTAATCTAAAAATCATATGTTTTCAATATTAATAGAAAAAGGGTCGCATTATTATTATTATTATTATTAAAATCGTAGTTATATATTCTTCAGGCAAGGGATCAATGTCAATATTATCATCTAGAGTAGTAACAGGATCGACAATATATATATGCTCAATTTCCTGTGAAGTAGTGGCAATCGCATGTGCAACTGTTTCTGACCTAGATTTGGCATTTAGTTTTGATAGTAAACATCTTTGTGGTTTTTCTGTATACAAGCAAACTTGTGAGGCAAAACATCTTTTTTTAAATTTGGGGGGACCACCAACTAGTTTGCACTTCACGTACTTTTCCATATCGTTTTCGACCTAGAACGAAATACAAACTTATTTACTCTATAAAAAATAAGGAACCTCGTAATTTGTATTCCATCAATATTTAAAATATCGTATCGTATAAACTATGTAATACATAAGAATAGAACACTAAAAAAAATTAAGTGCTCCACTTCATAATCAAACTTTTTCCATTATTTGCGGCCCGCAAAGTATGTAGGTTGAACAGCTCTGCGATGTGTTTAGTTTTTGCTCGAAATATCGTAAAAATATAAAAACGTTGGTTAACATATTCCATATCTTAACCTTTATATGCATTATAAACATTTTAAAATTTGCTGCAAACATAGGTAAGTATTTCTAGTCTAGTATTTAAGTCATTGACTTATCTACATTACATAGGTAAGTACTTTACCCAAGTTTGGATGTTTATTTACACTGAAGTAGTTTTAGTTAAATATGTAGGTATTGGGTATTGTTTCTTCTTGAAATTGTGATCATTATGCGTGGAAAGGTTCAATGAATCGTTAGTTACTTAAACACTGCGACTCGAGTAGGTAGGTACCTACATGCCTAATAGAAAGCATTTACTAACAATAACCAAGAGCTATCATGTGAAGGTTATTACTATTTGAATCGAAATGATCCTCACAACAATATGCTACCATGTTTGGTCCTAAATATGTGCTCTTCTCATAGCATTTGTCCATTTTTTTCTGATGGTAGGGCTTCTAGTTCTACGCACATTAAAAAACAACTTTTCAGGTGTTTTTGTGGCCGTATTTTTACATTGAGGCATAGCACAATATTTAATAGATGGATATAGAGAATAGATACCAAGTAGATCCGCGAACGACGGGCACATTTGAGTTAATGTTTTGATTTCATAAGTGCGCGTCGGGTCGCTTGCACGAAGATGGAAATCGTGACGTCATCAACGATGTCGCTCTCGACCCGCGGCTTAGACCGAAAATGTTAACTTTGCGCCTTTATATCTAGGTCAGTTTTGAAAATAGAAAAAAATTAAAAACACAGTTATTCTCGTAATTTTTTGTAGAATTTTTTTGGCATATAAAACAATAATTGGTTATCTTCTCCATTTCATACTGCGAAATAACTTGCCCTGGAAATTGCTTTTGGAACTTATTCAACTCAATTTCAAAGGCCACCTTAAATGGTGCATAGACAGCAACATCAAGTGGCTGTAACTTATGAGATGTGTGTAGAGGAATGGACAAAAATATTACATTATGATCTCTGGCATATTCTAAAGCAGGGTAATATTTATGAGACTCATGATTATTTAGAATTAATAAAGCCTTACATTCACTCGTAGGGCGCGCATAAGGCACAAAAGTTATTAGCCATTGTAAGAAAATTGCTCCGCTTACCCATCCACTATCTGATATGGTGCCTTCACTACCAGGACATGCCCCATCTTTGTTTTGTAGACAAGGTCCTCACACCTGTCTCATCCATGTTAAATATCATATTAGGAGTGATATGATGCTCTTCAACAAATCCTAAAAACGTGTCACAGTTGGTTTGTTAAAAGCTAATAATCTAGCTACCGGCGTCGGCTCTGGGCTTCTTAAAACAATATCGGGATGAAGTTTCAGAAAATTTTTAAACCACTGTTTACCGGCAATATTATTCTTAAATGGCGTTTGTATATTTTGTCGATTAGCGCACTCACCAGCTAATTCCATAAATTCATTTCTAGACAGACCGTAAAACAGTGCATCTAAATCCCTTAAATGTTTTTCTAAATTTTTTTCTTGTTCTTCATTAAATACAGGCTTAAACCTGCCGAGATGCTTTTTACTAATATTCGATTTTACATGACGTTGCACCGTAGTATACGGTATTCCATATTTTTGAGCTGCACTTTTTATTGAAGATTTTGTTGCCTCTGCAATTGCTTTTTTCATTGTTTCTTCCGACCAAGAGGCCCTGGTAGTCTTCTGTATGTAGTTGTTAACCATCTGCAAGTAACACAAATTACATTTAATATTGAATAAAAATAAACTCAACTCATTCGTATTTAAGGTAGGGCAAAACGGATCTCGATCCCTTTTTGCCCGTTCCGTCTTGCTCTATGCTCTCTTATTATAATAACCTTAACTTTGTTCCACTCACAGTTATTACTTCTTATCAAAAATTATCATTATAATAACATAAGATGAATACCTTACAACATCGACAGATTAATTTGAAATGAAAGCTTAACAGAATGCGATAAAATGATGCTACGACTTACCTTAATGTTTAATTTCGCGTAACAAAAACAATAACACAGCACTACTTCCACATACATACCACGAGGCACAGCGCGAGTGACTGAATCGGCGCACAGCAAGCGAAACTGCGTTATGATGCACTATTTCTCTTTCTGTGCAGCGTTACTATTCGTATAGAGAAAATATCCGTTTTACCTGCCTTAACCTTCTTGCTCTGTATAAGACTCCATCTTACCCAAGGTAAAATAACCAGTGCAATAATAACAGACTGCTTTATACGTGGTAGAAATATATATATATATATATATATATACTAGCTTGTCAGGCAGACGTTGTTCTGCCCTTTTCGACGACCCTTTGTCATGTCCTACCAAAAAAAATATTGTGGGTCACTCATGGGCGAAAAAACTATCCTATCTCTCAAGTCGGACCGAGCTACACACAGTGTGTGAATTTGATTAAAATTGGTTAAGCAGTTTAGGAGTCCATCGCGGACAAACAACGTGACACGTAATTTATATAAATATTAAGATATAAGATATAATAGCAGACTCGTTTATATGTGGTAGAGCCACGCTGTAGCTATATTATGGTTGTAGCATGAATGGGTCGGCTCGACCGGGGAAGGAACACGCTCTCACAGAATACCAGCGTATAATAGCAGCTTAATGCTGCTGTGTTTCGTATAGTGAGTGTAGAGAACCGGAGGCTCGTTTTACTGGAATCGAGGCATTACATCTTAGTCCTCAGGGGTGACAACACATCTGTATTTTGATTCTAAATTGAGGTTAAATGTAGATGTCTATGGGCCACCGCAACAACTTGCCGTCAGGTGGACTGTGTGCTCGTTTGTCACCCTCCTTTCGGACCATCAAGTTGAATTCGCATAAAGTTGAAATCTCAAAAAGTTTAATTTACCACAATGTCGTTTTTTCTCGATTTCGCAAAATGTTGAATTCTTATAAAGTTGAAATCCTTAAAGGTTGGATATCCCTATAAGTATGTTGACTATAAATAGCTTCCAGTTACGGGCTTTATCTACACACGCAAAACCTCTTTAGGATACTAAAACCTCTCTAGATAACTAGTTTATGTTAAATGCTTGTCATAAACTTGACAATGTCATTTGTAAATAATCAGTTTATTCATGAAATTGTTTATGATAGGATACTCCAAATTTCTTTATTTGTAAATTTCTAAATGGCTCCCTATAAAACAGTGTCCTTTACAACAAATAAAAAGAAACAGAAACTTCTCGTAATAAGAGGTAAATACACATTAACCAAAGATGGTAAAACAAATCAGAACGGCCCCTCCCGATGGAAGTGCACAAATCGGGACGTTTGTTCTGCAACTGTTACTTTAACCAAAGATGAATGTGACGTAAAACGTGAAACGAAACATACCTGCACACCGGATACTAATAAAATTAAAGTAACACGGCTTATAAACGACATTAAGAGAGAAGTGTCTATTAATTTATGTTCTATCGAGCAGATATATGAAGAAATGGTGCAACATTTCACCGAAACCAATCATTTATTTCCTGTAACCGAAATACCATCATTTATTTCAGTAAGAAGTACTTTATATAGAACCCGGAAAAAATTCTTGGGCACAAATTCGCTAGTTTTCAATAGAGTTGATGATGTGATAGTTCCGAAGGGACTGCCTAAAATATCACGGTTTATGAAGATGGAGATCAAGAAAAAATTATCGTACTTTGTTCTCAGACTGCCATAACAGCAATGAAATCGTCAGAACTGTGTAGTTACAGTGGTGATGGTACATTCAAAGTTTCTCCACGCCCTTTTTATCAACTTTACATAATCCATCTAGACGTATTTTCAGACGAAACCACAGTTAATGTATTTCCTGTTATATATGCATTTCTTCCAAATAAAACAGAAAAAACCTATACAAGATTATTCAATTTGATAAAAGAGAAGCTGCCTGTGGTAATAAAAACATTTAAATGTGATTACGAAACGGCTCAAATTAATGCTGTCAAAGCAATATTTCCAGATGTTCATTTATCCGGGTGTTTCCAGCACTTTAATCAAGCCGTCTGGAAAAAAGCAAAAGAATGCAAAATTGCAAGAGTGACAAGACCTACAAGTAGCGACAGAAAAGCAAGAAGCATCGTTAGAATGTGCTCCTATTTTGTTTTAATTCCTCCCACTTTCATGAAACAAGCGTCGAAAAGTATTCAACAGGCTGCACGATCTACGCTAAAAATGAAGTCTTTTTTAAAATACTTCCAAGCCCAATGGTATGACAAAGATCATAATATGATAAGTTGTGCAGGATACACACATAGGACCACAAATAATTGCGAGGGGTACCATCGGCGAATTAATGCGAGATTACCACGAAACCCTAACTTGTACCTCGTATTCCGTACACTTTTAAAAGAAACGAAGCATTACGATATAAAGATCGAAAGGTATTTGTTATTTGCACCATTCAAAAAAAATAGGCGGACGAAAGATATTTTGTTTGACATTAAGTATGCATCTTTATTAAAACAACTGAAAAGAAGAGTAATTTCACCAAAAATGTTTCTAATGAAAATCCATTTAACCAGATTAAAACTTGGTTTCTAACTAATTTTTTTAATTATACCTTATTTTAAGTGGAAGAAAGTTGATTTTGTATTTTAGTTAAGTTTAGTTCAATAAAACAGCGTACCTTATTTTAAGTGGAAGAAAGTTGATTTTGTATTTTAGTTAAGTTAATAAAACAGCGTACGCCAACCTACTAATTTGTTTATCTGTCAAAATTGCCCTTACCTTATAATGTTATTCGATTCATATAGGTATTCCATAGGTGGGATGTAGGTAATCTAAAAAACAGTTCAATAATTTAAAGGATTCAACTTTATGGGATTCAACATTATACAAATTCAACTTTTTGGGAAATCGTAATTCAACATGTTGGGAAGTCAACTTTGTAGGATTCAATATTACACAAGTTCAACTTTTTGAGATTTCAACTTTATGCGAATTCAACTTGATGGTCCGAAAGGGTCACCCTTATCCTATAAAAAAGATGACTGAGAGTTTCCGTGTTAGTCTTGAGTTTTAAATACGAAGTTATTACAATTGTTGGCTATCTCGTAAAAAGAGAGAAAAAAAAGAAATTCCTCACAAATTTTTTTTGTATAAACTTATAATTGTGAAGCCCGTGGGAGAGTTTGACGACAGCTCAACCCAGCGGACAATTGATGACGACAGCCACTCAAGTTCATAAGGCGCCCAAGCGATCAAAATAACTTGAGGTTTATATCGACATCAAAGCACTTGTTTCGTCGTTTTCTCTAATAGTTCACACGCGCGGACACTTAATTCACAAAATCGCATCACTTTTACGAATCAAAATTCACTTCAAACCATTATTCAAGCGACAAAACAGGAGCGACAATCCGTCTACGGCCAAGTTCCCGCCAATAAAAAACAGCATAACCGATAATATGAGGAGGATCTTAAAATAAATAATACATACTCGCTAGAATTATTGGATATGGTGCTGGAGCGGCCACTAATAACAGGGTTTTTCGAAGCCGGTCCCTTGTTCTGGCCCACGTTACGGCCGCGAACGACAAATGGACTGAAGCTCTCCGAGAATGTTGGCGCCAAGTCACGTAACGTGTGGAACATCTGTGGGGGTTGAAGTTTCACCAACGTTACAAAAGCAATTTCTGTTATTGGTGTAACGTAAATTATTTTTGGATAAAGCGTATACAATATCCGGTCGTATATATTTTTTTAAAGAATACTAGCTGTAGTATTCTACATATACACTATTAATACTCCCATCAACCACTTTAACTAAGCTTCGCTTTTTTTCAACTGCCTCGTTGGTCTAGTGGTTGTAGTGGTGCGACTGCTGATCATGAGGGCCTGGGTTCGAATCCCGGGTCGGGTCCAAAAATCAAATATTGAGTTTTTCTGTCAAGAAATTCTCAGTAGCTGCCCGGAGTCAGGAAGTTGGCGGTGTCTCACCCCCGTCCCTCGGAAAGCACGTAAAGCCATTGGTCCTGCGCCTGATCTCTCTCCGGTCGTGTCGGTTTACCGTCCCATCGGATTATGAGAGTGAGGGAATAGAGAGTGCACTTGTGCTTGCGCATACGCTTGTGCTTGCGCATACACTATAATCCTGTCCTGCGCCGATGGCTAGCCTCCGTTGAGGAATGCCGCCGTGGCCGAAATTCGGTCTGCAGGACATTACTATACGTATTGATATTAAAACCAGCCAAAAACAAAAATTATAGCCAAAGAGATTTGTTCTCAATTTTTAATTTTATTGTATAACAAAATACGAAGAAACTTTTTTTCGACCAATCAGTTGTGTTTTATAGTACAATTTATGATTTTGTAAAAGTCAATTATGAGCTTCACCATTTGATTTTGACTTTTTAGTTCTATAGTTTTTGGTTCCGTGATTCAACTGTAGGTGAACCCATAGTCGACTTTAACGTAAGCAAAAGAGTAATGGATTGTTACGCTGCTACCACATAGCAATCATTTTTCTTATTTACTGCTTCTCACTTTAAACTCAAAGCATTCTGTAAAGACGGTGTACTCGAAGGGGCGGTTATATTCTTGGTAGGGGTCTAACATCTCTAAGGCGCCGTCGCCCTGCGTGCCGATGATCTCGCAGCACAGCTTCCGCATCTCGTTACACGGCAGCGGCAGATGCCGTATGACGTCGTCGTCCCACCACTTTGTTAAAGACCTGATCAAAATTTATTTTATTTATTTATTTAATCTTTTATATATATATATATATATATATATATATATATATATATATATATATATATATTCTATTATATATATTGTAGTATTCACTCCGTAAACGTCGTTGACGTTGCGTGCTGCGTTGCTACCACGATGCTACTTATATTCCATAATTTCTCAAATTTTTAACGTATCCATGATGACGAAAAAGATTCAAATGCAATGAAAACATAACGCTAATCAATAAACAAAAGACTAATTTTGAAAAAAGAAATCCATGTTTTTAAAATAAAATTAATTTGCAATTAGAATTCACAGCGAAACAAAAATTATTTTGTTTTGTAATGGCCAGTACTGTAGAACGGTAATTTCATAGGTAAAGACCTAATTATTAGGTCAAGAAATTTAAAATATTTTATTTTTCTCGCGAAATAAGAAAGGTAATGTTAAACTGTTTACGGCAGTGAAGTACTAAACCTAATCATATTGTTATTCTGCGTGGATAGTACTTGCATGTTATTTTTAGACTATCTCCTGGCTTCAGCTGAATGCATATTTCTCAGCATCAGTACGCGCTGTATGCACCACATTTATAGATGGCCTTGCACATTGGCACGTACGCGCCGTACGCAATTCTTTTGTATCGCCAACAACTTTTGCAGATTTTTCCAATCACTGGTGTGAAACGGTACAGTGACAATCGCTATGGAAAACATTATTGTGATAGCCTGCATATTGGCAGAGGAAGAAGAAAATAAAATTCTAAGAAAAAGAAGGTTCTGGATTCAATATATTAATTTAAAAAGGCAGTTGTATGGAGAATATATAATTTATATAAAGACTAATTAGATAATGATGAACGATTTCTCAGATATTTGCATTTAACATACAAGAAATTTAAAGAATTGCTACATATAGGTACTAAAACCATATTTCCCTATGGCAAACTCAAGAGCTAGAGGGCCAATTGAAGAAGAGGAAAAACCTCTTGTATGTTTGAGGTCAGTATTTTTATTGATAATTATGTAATTGGGTTTTTAAATAAAAATTAATAATCAATTTTTTATTGTATTTAAATAATTTATCACTAAACTATGTATAATTAATTAAAAGTTATAAAAAGTCTTGTCTGACGACTCATTGTTGCCTACACAGTAAAAGTAAAATGAGGTAAAAATACATTTCGAAACGAAAGTCGAAATCACCAGTTTTAGTGGAAAATCCACTAAGTTGGTAACATAGGGATTGTGCGTTCGCAAGCTTAACAGAGTCGACGTGTCGCGAGCTGCAGCCGTAAATTGTAAATTCGGCCGCACACAAAAGTGTCCCGTAAAGCACTAACAAATTGCAAGTACGGAGTGTCTATAACCTTGTGCACCTGTGAGAACACAAACATCATCACTGGCTTATTAGTCACTTCGCGCGAAGAAGACGACTTTAGCGAAAATAATTGCTCTCCCGTATCCGCACCGCATCTCGAGGCAGCCGCAGCGGGGAGCCGCACTTTCCCCCGGTACGGTGAGAGACAGTTGCAATTTTTTGTCCCTATCAAATCAACGGGCCGCACTTAGCTCGCTGCTGTATCGCCGGCGCAGTCTAGCTGTACGTACCTATTATCTATTAAACAAGATAATTACCTGCGTCGAAGCCCACTAAAGTGGGCATCCGGGGCCTACCAGTGGGCAGATACCAAGATGATTGAGGAGGCTATCCGGGCAAAAGGCTTCCCCATCACCTATGTGGAGGCCATACCACCACGTAGAGGCAGACCGGGCTGCCTCTACTACGCACAGCTGGAGCATCTGAGCCTGGAGCGGCTACAAGATCTCTACCGTATCGACGAGCTCCTCTACATGAGAGGAGTCGTCATCGAAGCATGGCAGAGAAAGACGGGACCGGCACAATGCCACCGTTGCCAGGCTTTCGGCCATGCCTCTGCAAACTGCTTCAGGCCAGTGAAATGCGTTCGCTGTGCTGGGAAGCATATTGCCAGCCTTTGCCCAAGGGGTAGAGAGAAAGAGCCAAAGTGCGCAAATTGTGCACTTTAGCACCTGAGGATAGTAACCTGCGTCTGCTTTACTGGAACCCGGACGGGATTCAACAAAGGATACGTGAACTCCGCACGGTCGCCCAGCAGCAGGACATCCAGGTGATCTTGCTGGGTGAAACCAAAATACGACCAACAACGCATCTTAAGCTGCCTAACTATACCATCTACAGGAGGGACGAGGTCAATCCTTAAGGAATCGCTTATAGAGGGACAGCGATTCTGGTGAGGAGAGACATCGTCCACCAAGAGCTGGACCTAGCCCCAGACTTCCAGACGATGCGTTCAATCGGCATAAAAATGGAGGCGGCGAGGGAGGAACTAAGAATTTTTGCAGCATACCGCCCGCCAGGGACACCATTCTACTCCTCAGACATCCGGACGGTTATGGAAGGTACGACACCCACCATCATCGCCGGGGACCTGAACGCCAAACACCCGGCGTGGGGGTCAAGATTGATCAACCCGCCGGATCGTGAGCTATACGACGATGCTGAGAACCACAACTATGACGTTCTAGGTCCCGAGGAACCGACGCACATCCCTTCCGACCCTAGGAAGCGTCCGGATGTATTGGACATCGTGCTCACTAGGAACGTCAACTACCCAGTAGTGGTAGAAGTGCTGTACGACCTAAATACGCAGCACCTCCCGATTCTGATAAAACTTGGCACTAAGGCAGTGACTTCACCGCCCAGAGCTGTTAAGACCAAGATCGACTGGAGGCTCTACCACCAACACCTGCAGGAGAGACCTCCAGTACACGCACCGATCCACTCAGCAGACGACGTAGAGGCCGCTGCAACCAGAATAACCACGAGCATCCAGGAGGCCCTTAACGCGGCCTCTACGATCGTCCCTCTCTCGGGGAGAAAAGAGGAGCTGCCGCTGAATATACGCGTGCAGCTAAATCATAAAAGAGCTCTGAGAAAGCTCTGGGCGCGCACTCGCTGCCCCAGAGTATAAACCAAATTGAACACCCTATCAGACGAACTGTCGGTTGCAATACAGGCCCACAGAGGAGAGGCTTGTGAGCGGCGCATTTGGAAGGCTGATGAACATTGAACCGAAAGTTAACGAAAACCCGACCACCTGTTTACCCGCTGACCAGCAACGCGGGCGAACAACGTTACGATGTCAAGGGCAGAGCGGATATCCTAGCTGAGCACTTCGAGGAGCAGTTTATGCCGAACCCAGCAAGTGCAGAGTATTTGGAAATCCACACCCGGAAGGAGAGCCGCATGCAGGAGCTCCTGTCGTCGCCCGCGCCACCGCTTGCAGGAGAGTGGTTCATCTCTCCCGCTGAACTGCAGAGGACAGTAACCCGCCTGCAACCGAGGAAGGCGCCGGGGCACGATGGGATTACCAACGCTGCACTACGACAGCTGCCCAATAGAGTCCTTGTAGAGATAGGTCGACTCTACAATGGCATATTGCGGACATCCCACTTCCCGGAGGACTGGAAGAAAGGCAAAATCATCGTCTTGCCGAAACCCGGGAAGGACAGGCGTAGAGCTGCCAACTACAGCCCGATCACGCTGCTACCGCATATAGCTAAACTGTGCGAAAGATTACTGCTAAGACGTCTCCGCCCGTGCATCCAACTTCGGGCGGAGCAGCATGGATTCAGGAGAGACCACTCAACAGCAACACAGCTGACCAGAGTACTGCACCTGCTTGCGGCCGAGCACAACTGCGGCCGCACATCGTTGGGCGTCTTTCTCGACATCGAGAAGGCGTTCGACCGGGTGCGGCACACTGGACTACTCTATAAGTTAGATGATCAGACCAGTGTCCCTCCTGCTATATTGCGGCTAGTGGCGTCCTTCATCGTGGACAGGAAGTTCTACGTCTGTTTAGAGGACGCCGAGTCCACAATAAAACCCATAACAGCTAGTGTGCCACAGGGCAGCTGTCTGTCTCCAGTCCTGTACGCGGCTTACACCAATGACATACCTACCCTGGCAGGACATTTGCACGAATGGGAGGACGACGTCGAACTAGCGCTTTTTGCGGATGACAGCGCATAACTCATGTCGTCCAGAAGAGCCCATATCGCAGCTGCCAGGATGCAACGTCTGCTGGACCTGCTGCCACCATGGTTGGATGAGTGGAGGATGGCCGTCAATGTTAGCAAGACGTCCGCTCTGCTCACTCACCGCTACAGAAATCTACCACCACCGCTAACTCTCAGAGGCCAGGAGATCGCATATGAGAAGGCCGTGACCTACCTTGGATGCCGGATCGACAGGATGTTGCGCATGACTGCGCACGTCGACTTTGTTATACGCAAAGCTCGATGTGCGCGGGCGATGCTCCGTCCTGTCCTGACATCCAAGTTACCGACAAAGTCGAAGTTGACTATCTACAAAATGTACATAAGACCCCTGCTAACATACGCTGCTCCGGCCTGGTATGCACTCTTGAGCGATCATCAGAAGCGACGACTTCAGGCCCAGCAGAATTTGTCATTACGAACCATAGTCGGTGTGGATCGCTGCGTCCGGAATGACGTTATAGCGGCCAACCTGAAGATTGAGAGCCTCTAGGAATTCGTGGTCCGGCTGGCGCGCGGTTTGTTTGACCGTGCCGACAACGGGCCACATGAACATCTCACCGGCTTCGCGGCGTTGCACTCACGGCCGCCGGACGGGCGACTCTATCCAAGAGAACTCCTCCCTATATAGATTAGGGAGTCGAGTAAATCCCACAATGCCGCAGAAAGGCCAACTTCGACAAAATAATTGTGCTTAAACACAATTATCAGGACAACCTCTTTTAATGACAAATTTACCCGACTGCGACAAAAGTCGCTACTATAGTACGCCTTCACCATCAAATCCGCCCAGGACCGGCACATTGTAGTGTGCCGTGAGGAATGTCCGGGTAAAGGGGTATACTCCGAGGCCCGATACCTGCTGGGCATACAGCCCACGCAGAAGACAACACGACGATTACCTGCGTTGGTTGTTTGAACGAAATACACAATAACATCGGACGCATCGATTGCGCGCGTTGTAAACAATGTTATCACAACCTATGCGTTAACATTTCCGACAAAAACCTTAAAAAGATGTCGGATACTCAAAAGGCTAGTTGGCAATGGCCCAATTGTCACAGTCAGCCTAGAGGCGACAACACAAATACGCCCGTCAATCAGACGGCATCGTCATCGTCACCCACGACCGCCTCCAGTAACGTTATGACACGCAAAGCTACCAAAGCGGCAGGCGAGCCGCCCATCCCACAAGTACTAAGTAGCGGCGTACTTACATCGAGCGCAGATATAAGTGACATCATAAATGAGGCACTGAGGGAATGGGCCAACGGCATTTGTAGTCAACTAAATGAAATAAGAAGTGAGGTGATCAGTCTCAAAGATTCAATGTCATTTTTTAATGAACAATTCGTGCAATTAAATGCCGAGGTTAAAGCCCAAAAGCAGAGGTTCGACGTCTTAGTGTCGAAAACAATTCTGCTAAGGGACGTCATTAATCTAATCACTCACTGCAATCAGTTGGACCAGATGTCTCGCGCCGTCAATTTTGAGCTCCAGTGCGTTCCTGAGCACAAGAACGAAAACGTAACCAGAATAGTTCAACAGCTAAGTGAAATCGTCGCTGTCCCATCAATGAAGCTGATATTTCCCACTGCACCAGAGTAGCCAAAAAGAACCCGAAGAGTCCCAGACCACGTACCATTCTGGTCAGATTCACGAGCCCACGACTCAGAGATTCGGTCCTGGCAGCAACGATCAAGTATAATAAATGCAACCCAAACGATAGACTAAATTCGAGCCACCTGGGACTAAGTGACGAATCGAAACCGGCAATTTACGTTGCTGAAAACTTGTCACTGGAAAAAAAGGCCTTGCATGAGGCGACTCGTGCTCGCGCCAGGGAACTCGGTTATCAGTTTGTGTGGGTGCGCAGCGGACGCGTCTTCTTGCGGAAAGATGTCAGTTCGCTATCTAAAGTTATAAGAGAAATTTGTTTGGACTCTCTCTAGACTATTGCTTGTTCGGTGATTGCATGTTCTTTATTATCAACTTAACACTAAAATACAATTTAAAAATATACTATCAAAATGTAAACCTTAGAACTAAATGTGAAAATTTATATATTAATGCATTAGAAAAATCTTACGACCTAATTGTTTTGACGGAGACATGGCTCAATGACACCGATTTTGACCACGAACTTTTGGATGCTAGATACGATATTTTTAGGCGCGATCGGAGTTCCACTTTGTCCTTCCAAACAAAAAAGAAGGTGGTGGTATTTGTTTAGCTGTACTGAAAAAAATATAGGGCGTCGAGAATGAAGAGATTGGAGTCGGGGTGTGAGGAATTATGGCTCTCTATAGACTTAGGACTTAACAACAAAGCTAGTATAAATATTTGCGCTGCGTATATTCCCCCACCAATATCAAAAGAGTACTTAACAACTTTTCTCAATAATCTCACGGATGTCGTTAGCAATAAAATATCAAACGGCTCATTTACCCTGTTGGTAGGTGATTTCAACCTTCCTAATATAGTCTGGGAGACTACACCCGTAAAAAAAAAAAAAAAAAAAAAAAAATAACAACAGGAAAACATAAATTTTTGGACGGCTAGATAATACAAAAAAGAACAACCAAAACGCCCCAACCCCCGCCCACACACCCCCCAGACCAAAAAAAAAACGGAGTGTGGTCTGAACTTTATGACATAGATTCCATAGTTGACAAGTTTTACGGCACAGTTTTGCCCATAATTAAGAAGCACACGCCATATCGAATACCACATTCAGAAAAATATCCGGTGTGGTTCAGTACAGCCTTAATAAAATGTCTAAAAGAAAAAGCGAAATATGACAAAAAATACAAGCGGTTGTGTAATCCCGTTGACAGATTAACATATGAACTATTAAGAGACCGTTGCAATACAATGATCAAAAGTTGTTTTTCTAGCTTTAAAACAACGCAGCTTCTCATTTACGCTCAAACCCTAAGTTCATCTGGTGTTATGTTAATGGTCTCAAAAGAAACACAAATTCCCTCTCTTCTCAGATGACTCGTGGTGCCAAGACTGCCAGAGGTGGCCACTTTCAGTCAATATACACTTTCAGCACTTTCAGTCAATATACGATGACATCGTCACCAATTTGACAACCAAGTCATCCAACGTCAATAAAACAGCTCTCCACAGTTGCGAGACCAGTCCGATCATCAGCTTACTCACTGTCAGCGAATACGAGGTAGAAAGAGCATTGATGGGATTGGATGGAAGCAAGGCTTCATGATTGGATGGCTTGCCCCCGATCATTCTAAAGAAGTGTGCTGAGAGTATGTCAAAACCTCTTGCCTATATATTTAACCACTCTATCCGAAGCGGCATTTTCCCCCACGTTTCAAAAAAGGCACGCATCATCCCCATCCATTAAAAGGGAGATCTTACCGATGTGTCCAATTACAGGCCTGTTTCCATACTTCCAGCACCCGGTGAGTTTCTAGAGTCATTTGTTCATAAAAAAATATATTGGCACGTCAAAGAGAGACTAGTAGTGAGTAGGAGGGCAGTGATTAGGAGGAGGGACACGCCATTTTCCAAAGACTATGCTTGTGGTGGTGAAGATAATAGAATTGTTGATGTGCGTAGATAAATTGTGAAATAAAAAATAATAAAATGACTCCTAACCTTTTATTTGGAATGTACACTATCGCCTCAGGATGGTGCAGGTAATAATCAGTAGGATATTCCCAAATGGCCGGCTTGCCCGCATCCGGAACAAAGAGTCCAAGGAACAAATTCATTGTATTCTGTTTCTCCGCGTCGGAAAACGTATTCGAGTAATATCGGCTCAGTGTTTGCATAATATCATTGCCGTGCGACGACCAGGGAGCTGTTTTCCGATAGGTTTTTATTCTGAAAATTGCAATATAATTTAAATTCGCAAACTTTGAGCTATTAAAAAAGTTTAGATATATTTATGGTTTTATGGCACTGGCTGGAATTAAGTTTGGCAATAAGGTATTTTAAAAAAGCTTGAATATTTTGTGTAATTGGAATTTATGTTAAAAATTTTATTGTATTTTTATTATACAAGTAAATGTGTGTTCACTGAGGACTATGATGAAATGCCTCGTATCCCGTAAATTTTCAATATAACTACATCAAAAGAAATAGATACAGTAAATTATATTAATGGTGATGTGATGATGATTACCAATTAGAACTTCCTTTGCCTTCCCTAGCTACTTTCTTAGACCTTCTCTTCTCTTAGACAAGTAATTTCATCTCCTAGAATAAATAAATAGTTACATATATGCATTTCACACGCGGTAGAAGTGAATACTTCAGAAAACTAAACTTCGAGAGAGTATCAAGAGTAAGATAATTGTAGGGTTTATGTAATTAAAATATAAATAAATGAGATGTTCCAAAATATACGAAGCCTGGGCCAGGTCCTTGTACACTATACTCAAAATTAGGGAAACACATTTTAAACGGTTCTCAACTGTCCAACTATTTTATAATGGGTTTTTTTTGTAAACAAAATCGCGTCATGGCAGTAAGCTGTCATTTTTATTGATTAGTAACGTTTGACATGTTGATTTCACGTATTTTTGACACTTTTGTGACGACTGACAGTTCTCTTTCTATGATCAAGGGTCACTTTATGGTTTACTGTCATTGTCTATAAGCACAACGTAACTAAATCGGTAAGACGCCATGTTGAAAGTCGATAAAAATCATTGATAAACATCAATTGTTTACCACAACACAATACATTTGAATGAATTCTCTGTATTTTCCCGAATTCTACAGATTTTCTTCTTTTTTATGAGGTAGTGTACATAGACCTGGCCCATTTTGAAACATCTGCTTTATAATAAACACTAGTTACTGTATTTTATCTCATTGTCTCTCAGGCTGCATCCTATAGATGAATATGTTTATCTGTTTTTAGTGTCACTTCTTCGATTTATCGAGTTTCAGATCACAACAATTGCAAAGAAATGTTCACTTCAAAAAGCTTAGGGTACCTAATGCTCACCATACAACCTAAAAATTTCTTTAGTAGCACAGTTATCGAGCCGAAGATAAATTTTAGCAGTTTATGTTACGTTTTCACTAAAAAAGAAGAGTAATTTTCATGAGCTTCTTAATTTAATGGAAATTAAAAATGAACAGTTTAATTAAAAACATTCTAAAATCTAATGTATCATCATTGATTGATAAGGAATTACAAACTAAATGCCCCAGGTTAAATAGGATCATCTTATGTGGTCTTCATGGGTTGATAAGCAGAGATAGAACGGGTTGTAAAAACGGAGCGACAGAAGTGTAAGCTAATTTGATCTAGCCAGCGGATGACAAGAAGTATCAAATAGTCGACAACACCGTCCTAACCTAGCGTATTTCAACAAAGTATTTAATAAGTATACAACAATTTCTGTAAAAAAATATGTAAATATAATACCTGTGAACTAATTGTGATCCACCATATTGTAATGCGAGAGTATCTCCATGATCTTCATACAATCCCTCTAGTAATCTCACGCAGTCTGAGTCGAACTCTATAACTGGTTCACCAATAAGGCCCAATGCATATAGCTGTAAAAGTAAACAAATTTTAAATACTTCTGAATACTCAAAGATTTGGAAATTGAACTTAAGCTATATAAATAATATAAGATATATCTATCTAAAATAATTAATTAATTATCTAAAAATGTTAAGATGAAAAGCAAAGTTAAAATAAATATTTTATTTTATTGTTTCTTTGTTATAATTATTACATCATAATAAATATATATTGCCTTCAGCTTGCATAAACATTTTACTCCATTCCTTTTTTTAAATCTCAATTCATTAAAGTTGTATAACTGTAAAGTAAAAAGTAAAGTTACAGCCTATATATGTCCCACCACTGGGCACAGGCCTCCCCTCATTTCTGAGAGGGTTTTAGGGCAAGGAAATGTCCGCCGCGCTGCTCCAATGCGTGTTTGCATTTTTCGATCAGTTGCGTGGCGAACTTCACATGTCTTCGAAATTTTTATTTATCCTTAGACATGCAGGTTTTCTCGTGATGTTTTTCTTCACCGCCGAGCACGTGGTAAATCAACAGTTAAAATTGCAATTCACAAGTTCATTGGTGCCGGCAGGGATCGAACCCAGGTTACTCGCGTACTGTGACATTTACAGCGAGCGTTAACCATCTGAGCTACCACGGCTCTGTGTACAACTGGGCGTAACACTTTTTGAGGTGGAATGGATCTAGTGTGGACATCAGACTGTTCGTTAGAATGTTTTAAACATGCAGATTTTTATAATGTAACAGTATTAAATTAAGTATTAAATTAAATTTAACAGTCCGCGTCGACCAGAGTTCGATTCGCAGACACCAATAATATTGTTAGTAATTTAAAGTATGATTTAGGTGCTCGGTGATGAAAGAAAACATCATGTTTGGTGGACTTGTGAAGTCTGCACCGTGAACTAGAGCAGCGACTGACTAACTGCTTCATTTCCTCTCAGAAATTACAACAGATTAGAATCGTTTTATTCAATATAAATAACATGTAATACTTATTAAATATCACATTCTACTTTTATCACTGGTTCAGAAAAAACCTCTGTCCTGGGAAGAATCAGCAAGGAACCCAGCGAGACTTTTTTTTTAAAAGCACAATTTGCAATATTTATACAATTGAAGAAACCGAGGCCTTACTTAACCACTTCACCTACATATTAAAGCTGTATTTTTACGTTTTTTTCAATAGTTTTTAGATAACCACCATAATTAAATATAATTTCAGTGATACCGGCCATCTTGCGATGATATTTATGATAAAAATAAAAGTGGAATAAGGAATGTACCAAAAATTAGGGCAGTGTGGACATTTACTTATATTATGTTTATACTTTATTATACAATAGACCACGCAGAAAGTTTAGCCGTTTTTTTTTTCATATGGATAAGACCTGACATTTTATTTTGAAAATATGATTATTTACAAATAAAAATAGGAACTTTTCAATTTTAAATTTCCCTCCACATTTTTACAAGGTAAATTGAAATAATATCGAGTGTCATTAAAGAATAGATCTGCGTCGGGAATATTTTCATTCGACGATTTTGCACGATTTCGAATGTCACCTAAAATCGGACGAAGCGTTTTACAGACTTCATACTCCATTTTACGAATCAATGCAGCCGTGTACTGATGATATTAACAAATTTCAGAACTCTGAAAACTTTGAGAGATGAAGGAAGAAGTGGACACCTTAATATGGAAGGAAACGAGCCATCAGTGCAAAATGTAATTGAAAAGAATAGGCGAATTATGATGAGATATACGAGATTAAGGAAAATTGTAGATTGGACCAGGAAGTGTTCACGAGATTCTACACAAACACTTTTGCAGCGAAGAGTTTCTTGTAGAATTTTCGCTAGTTTCACATCTCAACAACCAAGTAAAAGTTACAGCCTATATACGTCCCACTGCTGGGCACAGGCCTCCCCTCATTTCTGAGAGGGTTTTAGGGCAAGGAAGTCCGCGCAGCCCCAATGCATGTTGGCGAACTTCACATGTCTTCGAAATATTTTTTCTTATTCCACAGACATGCGGGTTTCCTCACGATGTTTTCCTTCACCGCCGAGCACGTGGTAAATCAGCACATAAAATTGCAATTAACAATTTCATTGGTGTCGGCGGGGATCGAACCCAGGTTACTCGTGTTCTATTATATTTACAGCGAGCGTTAAACATACCAGAGCCGTGGTAGCACAGATTGTTAACACGTGGAATGGTGCTACGACATTATTTATAACAAGCAGTTTTAGTCTTGTACTGCTTACGAAATTGTTATAGGTGATTAATATTGGAATTATCAATACGAGGTTTAACAGTTTCAAAATAAACGAGGGTCTACTAAAGTGAAGCGATTGAGCAGCGCGGGTAAGATTTTGATCGCTGGTTTTTTTCACCTTTATGGTGTATCTGGTGTCAATTCCTTTAAGAAATCTAAGTAGCAGAAGTGTTTAATGCCATTAGCAACAAGGAATCGGACACGGGGCTTCGTGGGCTAGCTTTAGTGTTCCCGCTCACTCGGCGTTTAAAACGAGGGACGTCCTTGACAACACGTCATTTAAGCTTTGGGACAGCACTGATTTGATTTCATTACATATTTAAAAAATCAGATGAAAGGCATACACAGTTTTTATAGCTGGAAGATGCGCTAGCAACGGCCTGCTTGAGGTCGGAAAAGAGCAAAAACTTTGTACGAAGAGATGATGGTATTGAGTGCTTTGAAAATATTTAATAATAAAAATTAATTTTTGTTTGTTCGTATTTTATGCGTTGCCATATCGTTCATCAGATTGTGGTAAAACTTTCCCAAGATACTGCTTGCACTTCAGCGAAGGTTATATGCATAGTTGGACCCGGTAGGTGGCGCTGTCGTAGAATCTAGATATCACCTGTGATATCTGGATTCTACAACATAATAAAGTAAAGTAAAGAAAAGTTACAGCCTATATACGTCCCACTGCTGGGCACAGGCCTCCCCTTATTTCTGAGAGGGTTTTAGGGCAAGGTCAAAGTGTCCGCCGCGCTGTCCCAATGCGTGTTGGCGAACTTTACATGTCTTCGAAATATTTTTTATTTCTTATTCCTCAGACATGCAGGTTTTTACAATGTTTTCCTTCACCGCCGAGCACTGGTAAATTAGCACTTAAAATTGCAATTAACAATTTCATTGGTGCCGGCGGGGATCGAATCCGGGTTAGTCGCATTCTATTATATTTACAGCGAGCGTTAACCAGACTTAGTCTACAACATAGACTATAGAGATAACCCATATAGAACCCTCTTTCAGTTAAACAAAAAAATCTGTGTGGCTAACCTGATGTGCAAGCACACATTTGCCAATAGCAAACTGTGCGGTGTTTGTCCTGTCTAGACAATCCACGCAGTTGACTCGAACTATTCCAGTCTGAAGGCGTCCGCTTTGATGCCCCGGTACACCAGTCTCATCATCATAGCCCTTGGAGCTTAGAAATATGCCTGTTCTACGGACTACTGTGCGGGCTATTGCTGACAGTCTAAAATTTGGTGTGAAAGGTGAAAAATAGTATTAACAGTCATTATGAAATTTTCTGTCGCTGGTACTAGGATAAAACATTTCAAATTTTGTCTCTAGTAGTGGAAAAATGTAATTTTGTGCTTACTTTTAAAGTCTATTAGATTTATATTTTTTTAAATTCTGATTTAAAATTTCACAGCTTTATAAATGTGAACGCCGAATGAAGTTGCTTAAAAATGAATATAAGATACATTTTCAATCAACTTCATTAGTTTCATAACTTTTAAGAAACTGTTTTAATTGTAAGAGACTTTTTAATTCACACGTTCTCTTAAGGGGATATAGTAACTCAGCTCAAATGCTAATTTCACCCTCACTTCCCCGCGCCGACGCGCTATGCTACGTATGCTATGTACGACATGTTTGTAATACGAATACTGTAAGTAGATAGGTCGTTAGATACTTATTTCATTGGGTTTATCATATTTATGCCTGTTTCTTTACGCCAACCCAGCCGCTTCTTATTTTTATTATGGTTATTTCCCATTTTAATTTTACGTCGTCCTGTTGCGTAATGTGTATTCTGATTGTAAGTGACACAGCTTCCCCGTTCAAAGGCCGAAGCGAGACTGACCGGACGGCAGGAAAAAAGCTTCAAGAGGCCGATAGTTTAGGTAATTTCTTTTTACAGTGAAAAAAATGTTATTTAAAAAAAAACATGAGCCCTGCTTTATAGTTAGTTCAGTTAGTATGCAAAGTTTCATGAATAAGTATTTTATGAATAGCAGCGGTTTATTGTTAAGTTTGGAGGTAACTTTGGATTTTTTTTCAATTGAGAAAATACGAAATCGTGTTTTCGTCTAACATAGTACTTAACATTAATCCTCAACTTACCATATATTTATTTCAAAGTTAATGCTGCGATATTTTCGGCATAACGCAGGATCTTGCTAAGCCATTTGAGGTAGTATTTTTAATATTTCCTCGTAACATTAATAAGAAATATGAAGGTTTAGTTACCTTAATTTGTTTTACAAAGTTTTTATAAGGTAATACAAATAAGATTTCATTTCATATAAAAATATTAATGACTACGTACGAAATCTGTTTGGTGGTAAGCTATGGGGAATAATTTCATTGTCAAGTGCCAAATTCGCCTGCACGCGGTGCACCATGCTAAACAATGAAGCTATGTCAACTGGTTATGTCTCCATTCGAATCAAAATCTAACTCTCTGAGATATATGCTCTGTGCTATCACTTACCCAACCGCCCGACCCAGAGAGATTGCACGAATTTCGTAAGATATATGCCAAATAACGCATTTCTTAAAAAAATGCCTATAAATCAATCTTAGAAAGAACTTAACTAGTCACAAAAGTACATGGCTATGGTATATGGTGTAATAAGTATATGGTGATGTTGTGAAATAATCCATTCAAAATTTTAATTACCTGTGGTTTTTTGAGTAATCGAAAATTTATATGAACAACATCCTAGAATTTTAGGAATAGTTGATATTTAAGGTAAAATATAATAGGTATATAGTCTTTTTGGCTGATCACGATCGGATCTGAATTTTGTGTCTCGTAAAAGTTTTTAAAACCAACCGATTTGATTAGCATCTATGTCGTGCCTGCACGATGACTGTAGCTTTCATGTAATTTTACTTTTAAAATACTAGTATCAAGTATTTTAGTACTTTAGTAAATATATGGTACAGCCTACATAATATTTATGTCCTATGAAACTTACTACAGCTTAATATAAGTTGACATTACGTAATAAACTTATGTAAATAAAAATTGCCTTACTTATCAAGAACCTTTGCATCGGCTCCCTTATTCATTCTAGCCATATCCAAATGGAAGTACTGTATAGCATGCTCGGGAGATAAAAATTGGTTCAGGTACTTTACTGCATTGCTAATTGCATCTGTTAATAGTGATTCATGCTTTTTCTTCTCTCTCTTTTTTACTAAATTCAAGATCATAATCGGCGAACCATATCTTCTCATTAGATTATTGAAATGTTTTGCTGGTATTTCAGCATACGGGTCACCCAAATCAATTGAAATGGCTGGTTTTGGTACCATTTTAGATATATCTTGCGACCAATAACTGGGAATAGAGCCCCGCATCTGGACAAACGAACTAAACCTGGAATAATAATATGAAATGTAATATTACGGTTGCATTAAATTTAAACATTCTTTAAAAGGGATATCGGATTATACTGAAAATAAATATAAAATTACTAAAAACTTTTTTGAACAATGAAAACATGAAAATAATTAGTTATTGATTCATTATTAAAAAAATTGACAGATGCTTTGAGATTGGGATAAACTTCATACAAATTATAGAGCTGTAGAGTGGAGCCAGCATTTAGGTAAACACAAAATAAAAATAAATAAATAAAGATGACAGTTGATAACTATGCATCAAAATCAAACATGGTACATATATTTACAATATACATGGTCGCAGAGCTTGAACGAGACTGAGAGAATGAGGTAGTCTACATACTAGTTCTTCTATTATTTTGTGAGAGTACAATCGTCGGGGGAACCTTTAACTCAGGCGTAAAAACCGACACGAGACGAAGAGCGAGTAATACCAAAACACACAGACAGTGTACAGTCGCCATAAATCAACATACTTTATTGCAATTGTAGCATCACAAAATAATTTAAAGTTATAAAAATTAAGGGTATAAAAATCTTGGTTGTTGTTAAACTAGGAAATAAAGTACAAATAACAAAAAATCGTGATTAAAAAAAAGTAAAGATTTCTTTTTTTTCTTACCTGCCAGCTGCAAACGATGATATCATTGAGTCATGAACAATCTGCTCAGTTTCAACTTCATTAGCAACATCACCGTGTAAGTTTGCACCTCTTTTAAGGAATCTAGTACCAGCATACCTGTTACTTCTTCTGGCTATGAGCGTTAGGTAAATTGGCCTACCAAATATATTTAGGTTGCTCTGTTCTATAAATCCATGTACTATGTATAATATCCAGTCTGGATGAAGATAGGAGTGTACCGCTGAGAGTAAATGACTATTCCAAACAAATCTCCACTCTGGCACTGTCCTTATACCAAATTCTAGTTTTGGAATTGGTTCCCTTAAAAATATTACAAATCAATGTTAAAATGTGACAATCCAATAATTAAATACGCTATATATTTTTTTTAATAAATAGTATTAAATTATAATATATAATAGTATTATATATCTCTTTATTGTTTATAATATTATTTATTATTTATAATACTACTAGCTTGCCAGGCAGACGTTGTTCTGCCCTTTTCGACGACCCTTTGTCATGTCCTATTAAAAATCCTTAAATTTGCCAAAAAATTTGTGGGTCACTCATGGACAAAAAAACTATCCTATCACTCAAGTTGGACCAAATTGCACAATGTGTGCAAATTAGATTAAAATCGTTTAAGTAGTTTAGGAGTCCATCGCAGACAAACAACGTGACATGTAATTTATATATATTAAGATTTTTTTTATTATGTGCGAGCATGTATGCAGGTCTAGGTAAAGAAAGCAGTATCACTGCGACCTAGAAGATCTATTGTGATCGCTGCTATGGCTATAGTTCACGGCTAAGCCCTATGTCTTCAATGAATAGAAGGAGTTGCTTAGCCGTGAGCAATTTCACTTCTTCTGGGCGGAGTAGATAGTTTCCCAGATGAGTGTTACGTTTGCGCATTAATGGTCCGCAATCAGTTAGGATATGTAAAGGCGTTTCTTCCGTTATGGAACAGAACCGACACATCCTTGAGTTGCTTAGTCCCATGACGGACATGTGCTTTTTAAGACAACAGTGTCCGTTAGGGCTCTTGCCAGAATGCGCAATTTATTTTTACTTAATCCCAGGGCTTCTGAAGCGAATTTACGATCAAAAGCCCGGATTAAGGTTTTAGAATGTTTTAAGCCTGGTGTGTCAGACCAGATCTTAAGTGATTTATTGTGATAAAGAGTTTCAAGGGTCAATCGGGCTAGGCTTCTTGAGATTCCACAAAATGGCTCGGGTCCAAATTGTGTGCACTTTGAGCCCTCCTGTGCAAGTTTGTTGGCAAATTCGTTACCTAGAATACCCTCGTGACCCGGAACCCAACTTAAAATGACCCTGTTGTTACAACCCAGGGCGTTTAAAGGGTTGACACAGTCTCCAACTAGCTTTGAGTTCACTAAGTTTGATCTCAGCGCTAGCAGTGCTGCTTGACTATCAGAGTTTATGTAAATTTTATGGTTGACGTAGTGTTTTTGCAGATTGATTTCCGCACACCGAAGTATGGCGAAAATTTCTGCCTGGAAGATAGAGGTGTATCTACCCAAATTCATACTAAGTTTGAATTTGGGGCGTTCCCCGTAAATTCCAAAGCCTACGTCGAGGCCCATTTTAGACCCATCGGTATACCATATGAGGCTACCGACCTCACAGATAACCTGGCCATTCAGCCAGTCTTCTCTGGAGGGTAATTCCACTATATACTTTTTATCAAAAGTGTATAGTGGACGCATGATATCTGAGATCATGCATAAGACCGGTGATTCCTTAATTGAGTCGAGCATGGATCTCAATCTGTAGGAGAGCAAGCTCAGACCGCCCTGGGCGTTAATTCTATACAAACTAGCCCTCGCCTCCTTGTCTAGATAGAGATCAATGGGCGTTAGGCATAGAAGTGCATTAAGAGCCGCTCCAGGCGATGATCGCATAGCTCCAGTTGCCATTAGGCAGGCAGTCCTTTGTAGACTATTTAGTCTGTCCGCATTCGTCTTTTGGTTGGCCTTGTTACACCAGACAATAGAGGCGTAGGTGAGAATCGGCCTCACTATGCTGCTGTACAGCCATAGGACCATACTGGGACGCAAGCGCCAGTTGTTCCCGACCAAACGACTGCACGTACCTAAAGCAATTTTTGCCTTATGGCATACGTTGCTAAGGTGAGAGTTCCACGTCAGTTTTTGGTCGATCGTTACGCCCAAGTGCTTAACTTCCGTGGAAAATGGTACTTCTTTGCCATTAAGTTTTGGTTGGACTAATTTGTCCAACCGTCTCTTTTTGGAAAAGGGTATTATAACAGTTTTATCAGAATTAACTGATAAACTGTTATCCCTACACCAGTTATTTATGGTGTTTAGGGCTCTTTGTATTATTGACGATAAAGTACTTTGGCAAAAGCCCCTTGCAATGATCACAAGGTCATCAGCATAACCCAATGTATCAATGCCTAGGTCTGCCATTTTGTACAATAGTTGGTCAACCACAAGAGTCCAAAGAAGGGGTGACAAAACACCTCCTTGTGGGCAGCCTCTTGTGGTTGCAACCTCAATCGAAGTTTGAAACAGTGCTATTTTTGCCTTTCTGTTTGAAAGCAACGACTTCACCCATCTGATGATTGTGGGGTCAACATTTTTATATGTTAGGTCCCCAATCAGCAGTGATGTGGGGCTACTGTCGAAGGTGCCCTCAATATCTAGAAAGGCACAAAGAGCTATTTCTTTATCCTCCAGTGCTTTTTCGACCCTGACAATGACACTGATCAGGGCTGTTTCCGTAGATTTGCTTTTGCGGTAAGCATGCTGGTTGTAATGTATGGGTCTCGTAGCTAGAGCTACATCCCTTATATGTCTATCTATAACCTTTTCCAATGTCTTAAGAAGAAAGGAAGATAGGCTTATAGGTCTAAAGGACTTTGGTAAAGCGTAGTCCTTTCTACCAGCCTTAGGTATAAATAGAACCTTGACAATTGTCCATCGTTCTGGAATATATCCCCATGCAAAACTTGCTCTGAAGATTTTCACCAGATAAGGAAGAAGGATGTCGATACCCCTCTGTAGTTGGATGGGAATTATTCCATCCTCCCCGCTTGATTTAAATGGTTCAAAGGAGTCAACAGCCCACTGCACCAGGTTCGGCCTTATTATCTTTGCAGCCCTACGCCAGTCCTCATTGCAAGGCCTTCGTAGAGCTCTGAAAGAGTTCAAGGCTGAAGTCTTGTATGACCCTGGGAAATGGGTTGACGCTAGTAACTCCAATGTTTCTGTTTCACTATTAGTGAAGTTATCATCCGGCTTTTTAAGAAGCCCGATCTGATTAGGTTTAGCTTTCGATAGCATCTTGTGTAGTCTTGCACTGCGAGGCAAAGACTCAACTTCCTCGCATAGCTTCCTCCAAGATGCTCTCTTGGCTTTCCTAATTTCTTTATTATATTCAGTTAGGGCTGCACTATAAATATCCCACTCTTTGGTTTTCTTAGCCCTATTAAATAGTTTCCTGGTCTTTTCCCTAAGGTCTTTCAGCTTAGAATTCCACCAAGAAACTTTTCGTGTTGAGGTCTTGGTTTTGACGGGACAACTGTCCTCGAAGGCTTCACGGATACCTACGGTTACTGTCTCCGTCGCTAACTCCAGACCTTCAATTGTTTTAATGCTTTTAGGAAACGTTTCCAAATTCCTCCTTAGGCTATCTCTATAGATACCCCAGGAGGTCGCTTTCGGATCCCTAAAAGTAACGGTTTCAAAGGATGGTGATGCTCCAATCACAAACTTAATGTGCTTGTGATCAGACATCGAGTTTTCGCTACTAACATGCCAGTTATTTATCCGCCTGGACATGTTATTGGTAGCAAAGGTTATGTCTAAGTCTATTAAGATTATATATCATATAATATCATTATATAATATATAATAGTATTATATTTCTCTTTATTGCTACTTATTAAATTATACAATTTGATTTAATATCTGCCTATGTGCTTTAACCACTGTTATCAAACCAATGATATCAAAGCAGAAAACATCAAAGTTTTTGTATAGAAATACAATGATTTTTTTTAGAATGGTGACAAACAAAACAAACCTGATAGTAAGAGGGTATGGCTCAGTGGCCGTGACTCATAGACACCTGCAACTATCCTCAAATAAGAATTAAATATAGATTCATTGTCACCATTGACCCCTAAGGACTACTTACTTTTTTTAATGTGGTGTTTTGTAATTAAATGCTCCAGCTATATTAAATTATAGTCGTAGCATGAATGGGTCGGCTCGACCGGGGAAGGACCACACTCTCACAGACTACCAGTGTGAAATAGCGGCTTAATGCTGCTGTGTTTTGTATGGTGAGTGTAGAGAACCAGAGACCCTTTTTATTGGAATAGAGGCATTCCATCTTCGTCCTCACAGCTAACAACGCATCTGCATTTTGATTCGCAAACGAGGATAGATGTGGATGTCTATAGGCCACGGCAACCACTTACCATCAGGTGGACTGTGTGCTCACTTGTCACCCTAATCATATTTAAAAAAAAAACAGCATGAAATGCCTCATTACCAGTAAAAAGGGGCTCAGATTCTCTACACTTATCATACAAAATACATCAGCATTATTCTGTTTTATGAGAACTAGACAGCTGGAATCTTTTATACTCGTAATTCCTTACCAGTACAAAGCCTCTCTAGTTCTCTACACTCATAACTCACCAAATTAAACAAAATATCATTACTTATGCAATTTGGCACAAAACATTCACTTATTTATCAATCCCTAAAAGTTTAGTAAAGTACTATTGGCTTTCCCAGATGTCTTTCTCGTTGCTCATCATAGTCAATCTTATTATGGGTATTTCAAATCTTTTGTAATATATGAGATGGAATTACCATTATCTATGGCTATGAGATCTTTCTGGCTCATACCATATTTGCCTCATACCATACCTATAGGATGAAATAGAGTGATGGACTCTCTTTCACCTGCCACTACCCTAAAAACAAGTTCGCCTTCAATAGCTACATACTATAAAATAATTTGAAGACATTAACCAAAATGAAACTATAAAAATTAATAAGGCTTACCCAGTTTTTTTCAGCCTTTGCTGTAACTGTTGCTTCCAAGTCTCAAATATATCTTCATCATCATCACAATCATGACAAATGCATTTATTTTCTTCACTATTGTCTGAATTTAAATTTGAGTGATAAACTGCTGCAGTGATAGGCTTGGGAAACAATGCAGGTGCTAATTTTCTTGGAGGTGCCATGTTCATTTGTAATGTGTGGGTTATGTCATAACTGTAGCTATAATAAAAATTGGTTGACAAGTCTATAGCTAGGAACATTTTTAAATATCTTTGTTCATCTGGATGTTGAGGCTTGGTGTTGTCACTAGGAATGTATATTGTAGCAGTGTCTTCAATTTTGTAAATGGAATGTGAACCAATCACTGCAATTTTTCTTCTCTTAGTTACTAAAATAATGTAGTAGCCTTCTAAGAATTTAATAAAGCCTGTAAAGCATAGGAATAATACTATAATACAGCAGTATAGTATAGTGGACAATACATATTATAATGATAATAAAATAGTAATAATAATTTACAATTTACATAAATTATATACTGTCTTAATATTAATAATAATAACATTTATTCAGACTTTGTTAATGAAGATGTTAGTAGAACAATAATATCTAACTTTTATTTTTTAACTTAACAAATTAAACATCGCTCCTACATTACAAATATCTTATTTATTTACTTTTATTTAATATTACATCTAAGATTATATATAATAGAATAACATAGAAGTCATGATGATGCAGCAGATGAACTGGTCAGAAGGGGATCTGCTGTGGCCACTATAGGGCCGGAACCAATAATACTAATCCCTTCTGGTTACAATTGTACACGGGTATGTAGAAACTTCAATAATTTATATGCTCAGCTTTGGAAAAATTTAGTAGACTGTAGACAAGCTAGGGAGGCCCTGCCTGAAATACAGTTGTCTAACCGAGGTTCTAATGAGACTGAACAAGCCACAGATCAGTATAGTAACAAGTGCTATCACAGGACAAAGCTCCTTTAACAAATATTTATTTATAAGTGTTACAGATAGCCTCCTGTGCAGGGCATGCTTGGAGAAGGAAGGAACGGCAACTCACGTGTTGCTGACATGTCCAGAGGTCTCTTCATTCAGGGCTAAACATCAAAGGACTGTTGAACTTCTTCGGGGGGATATCATGGCTCGAATACTACTTGCATGTTCTAAGCCACTCAGAAAAAAAATCAATATTGTCATTGCATCAGGTATGTAAACTTACTACAATTATAGGTCATGAAGAGAACTAATCACCACTATAGCCGGAATGTAGCATGTTAATGACTAGAGCTACCTGAGCTGTTGGCATGTGTTGTTCTTCTAACTATATATTAAGATAATTCGTCAATGTGGTGGCATTTAAAAAAATGAATGTGAATTTTGTATTCACTTATGTGTTTGTTGCATATAACTAAACATAATTTTTTTATAGTAATAGAGTACAAATGAGCTACCAATACAACTAAAGGTAACTAACTAACTCCTTTACTCTATATCAGTGGTCTAATATCAAAGACGGCAAAGTCCAGTTAAAGTAATTTTACGTGATTTAAAAAAAACTGATAATATTTAGAAGATATTATATGTTTACTGTTATGATGTATTTATATTGAGTGATATTTTGATATCATTTATTTTAAACTATATTTTACTGATATAATAAGTCAGATAACTAAGAAACTTAAATAATGTGATGGACTTTGCCACATTTGTTAGTGTAGTATCATTTTTGTTATGGATTGTTATGGACTTAGCCATATTGTTAGGATATAATTTAAACAGCTGTCAAGGGTGTCAAAAAAAACATAATATAATTGAAATGCTTTTTTTATTTTGATAAACCAATAAACTTAAAAAAGTAATCACTTTTAAACTCTCAATGCTGTGCTTTCCGCGCGAGATTCATCATCATAAAATTTTTTCCTCGGCGACACATACTACGAAGGGCACCTAAATCACTTTTATGAAATACTTCAACTTGTACTAATGTATTGTAAGTCTCTGTGCGGGATCGTTTGATTATTATACATTTGGATTCCATGAATTTAAAATGCCACTGACCTGGATGTTTCAGTATTTTCTACGCAGCACCTTTCCAATCGAGCACTTGGCAATCATTATTACGCATGAGTATTAATGTAGCATAATTTGCAATGAGGCCATGATACTCTTTGGTTGAATGATTACTTCTTTTTTTTTTGACCTTGTGTTCTATATGACCAATAACTCTATCTGATGGCAGATACGAATGACCCGTGATGGGGAAGTATATTTCTATTTTTTTATATTCGGATGTAAAAGTAGCCACCTACAACACATTCCAATAACAATTGTATTTTTATTTTAACCTCCGCAGCCTTCGGAAATCAATCTTACCATGTGGATGTTCTTTAAATCTGTAGCATTAACCCGATGGTACAATGCAGAAGCCACTGTATTCGAATCTTTTGAATATTGCTCTTCATCCCATACATACGAGAATACATTTTCTTTGGTTAAATTATCATTTGAGCTACCTTGTACGATGGTCAAATTATAAATATAAAATTGTCTGCCTTAGTAGGTGGACTGGTCGTGTAATTTAGGTAACGGCTGACTCTTTTGACAGTAAAAGGAAAACGTGATATCTCCTGCAGGCTTTGATTTCAAAACATCATAAAAATCTTTTGCTTGAAGAGAATGAACTTGTTTTGAAGTCATCAGTTTCGTTTTCTTAGCAATATCAGTCTCAACCTTTATTTTTTCTTGAAACTGTAGGCATGTTGAGCAAATATCAGTTAAATACCTTTCGGAAAAGTGCTTTCATAGCAATAGGCTGAATATCCCGTTCTTTGTACATCTTATACAGCTTACTAATATTTAATTCTGCAGGTAAATAATGACGAACAGATGTGGTACCACGGCAGTTGTGTGGTTCTGAGCAATTTAATGATTGAATAAAATCTTTATCCCTTGCCTTCTTTCTACAAACTTGTGGCTTTTATGATCACCACCTCGCTTCTCTATAGGGCACTCTCCTGTCTCGAAATGTTTTCTTATTATAGTTAAGACTCTATGTTTTTTTATATTTAAATAATTTAAGAAAACCTTTTGACACACTAGCACAGGTTTATTATTTGCAGGTATGTAAAACTTAGTAGTAAAAGTTTTCGGCTTGTATGTATTTGTTCGTGATCTCTTACGTTTTGTTGAAACACTTTTGGTATATTTTAAAATAATTGTGTCTTGTGCTTGTTTCGTCGCTGTTTTGTAAAACGCTGCATGCATGATATTGTTCATGGTCAAAGAACTGCACTGAAATCCCTTCTTATGGGTGCAAATAAGTCGATCGGGCAACATGGACAATTCATATCTAAAATGAAAAATAATTATTTGTATGTAACATTCAAGTTATCGAGTTTAATTAACTCTGCTTTATTTTGTCCAACTATAAAAGTAGCTTAATACTGTTTCTGCATCTAAGAATATGTTTGTGGAAAGTTTCAGCTCATTGAAGTGAGTAGTTACGCTGTAAAGAAGTAACAAACATCCATACATCCACCAAGCTTTCGCACTTAAAATATGTATTAGTATGATAGGTACAATATTATTAATTATTATACATAAAAGGATAAAACTCAAAATTTATTATGAAGTAAATTTTTTTTAAATATTATAAATATATATTATAATAATATTATAAATATGTTATGAATACATTTAGTAAAAAATTATAATTATTATTTTGTAGTGCATTCGAAAAATTAAATTTGGGAGTACAACCCTATAGAAAATAGCTACTGACCTTAGTTTCTTTGACTTATTTTGCTTCCAGTTTTCGGGATTCGCGGCCCTTTTCCTGGTTTTATTTTGAGGCACAACTTTAGGTCGGCAATCCATCTTCACTTCTTTATTTTTTCTATTAATGTAATAAGTGTAAACACTTATAATTAAATAAAATAAGGACATAGATAATGCAGTTTTATTAAAAACAGCCATTGAAACAGCTCGTCTCTGATTGGTCGAAATGGACATTGCTAATTTTATTATGTTAGTCAGGGACTTTCTCGCATTTGTTAAAAAACATTTTGTTTATGCGTAGAAATCTATTGGATTTTGTTGGATTTGTTCGAATCTCACAAAGTGATCTAGTAAAAAAGAGGTTGCCACAAACAATGAAATTAAAATCCACGTTTGACATTATAGGGGACTTTGCTGCCTTTGTTATTAGACCCCTGATATAGTATATCATATATGCATTTGCATATGTCTATCAAGCACAGTGTACCCACAAATATGTGCAATTTTTAAATGTATTGACTTGTGCAATCAACTTCAAATGTTACATCTCACTCCAATAAATATCAGCCAGGATTATTACTCATCATCATCATCATCATAAACCAAACTGAAATGTTTCATTTTTTAAATTCATGGTTCATCAATGGGTCCATTTGGCAGAAATAGTTTTCGGCCAGGACACGATTGCTACTTCAGTAGCGCTGACACAATCCGCCATTTTGCTTATTTAATTTGTTTGTTTTCAAGTAGAGTTTATAAGTTATTTTGTGCAATATTAGTTTTAAGTAATATATTGACATGAATAAACATATACATGTTATTAAAAATTCATGATTGGTAAGTTTTTAATATGAATACTTTACATATATTTAAATTAGGTTAGGTTCCCCGGTTTAAACTAACATTGTGTTCGGGAGGAATAGCTACTTACGATTTGACAGCGCTTACCGCTTACGATCGCCATTTTGCTTACAAGCGCTTGCTAGCGCTTTTTTTCTGCCAAACGCACCCAATATGTAATAGACTAAAATATAACTTATATTTCAGATAACCCTTTTTAATAACAAACATTTTTACATATACATGTAACTTGAAAATAAATTAATATCGTAAATTTATTACCAACTATTCCAAAAGCGGAAACAAGTTTGTTGAAACCAGGTGATCTGTTGCCTCTATTGCCAAAACCAATCATATTTAACAGTTGGTGTATTTCTTGCTTGTTATATTCTACTTTATCATCAACTAAAATTAGCTCTTTTGGATCCGTTCTATCAATTTTTAGTACCCGAAATCTGGTCTGGGTGTTATTTGAACCAATGAGATAAAATCTCTGAAATTATTGTTCACAATGATTAGTAAATACATAGGCTAGACATACCTAGATAATCATACTTAAAATACTTGATTAAAAGCTCACCGCTTTAGTTTCATATAGGGCTATTCGTTGAATAGAACTGATAATTGGATGAAACATAATATTTTGTTTGGACATATTGGATTATTGTATAAAACTGTTTTAAAAAATTTAAGACAACTCTATCATGCATAGATTACAACTATCATGATAGTTAAAATTATACTAATAGTAATACTATGTTAGAGTTTATATTGTTTATAGAGTGGTACAGTAAAAATAGTAATACAAAATACATATACACTGACAAGGTGACAAGCAGTGACAAGTGACAAATGACTGTTTTTTTTTTTGGAGTTTATGGGCTGGTATCTCGACCTTTAGGCTAAGTCTTGAGTATTTTGATTCGGTTTATTATAATTTCCCCACTGTATTTTTGATAAATTTATATAGAGGCACGTAATAGGATCTCTTTTTTAACATATAACTCAGGCGGCGGGAGGGATCTTGCACTGTCACTTGATTTTGCACTATGTCACTAATTTCACTGACAAGAATCAATCTGTTAAATGAAAAGTGAAAAGCACTCACATTGGTGATATCAACATTTCATGAATATGAAATGTTCGATATCACCAACAAAATTATTGCAGTAGGTGCAGTAGCTGCCACAGAGTATTTTCTAATATACTGAAATAGAGAGAAATCTCAAGCATAAAAATGAATTCTAGAATGTGCTGCTGTCTGGTGGTGTCCGATGAAACAAATTTTTTATCATATAGCTATACTATACACCCAGTATATATAGCCACTACAGTTTTCTATATACCAGTTTCTTTATATTTTTTAGTTTTACTTATTGTAAGAAATTTATTTATGTGTACAATTTCTTACAATAAGTATTATAGATTCTGATGTAAAAATAAAAACTCATTTCAGAAAGAAAATTCATTTAATGAATAAAACATCTTTTTTTACACTTGTGGAAATATTTTTTGGCTTTCATTTGAAATATATCATCATTATCATCACAGTCTCTTTTCCCACTGAGTATCCTATTTATATTTTTGACATAATTGAATATGAAAAAGCGGCAAGACAAATTTAATAAGTAATCAATTATTGTATTTTTGTGTAAATTACATTGCAGAAATTCAAAATCTACATAAATTAATATCAAGGTTTTTATTAATTCTTTAATGTTGTTTTTATTTAAATAGTTTTTTAAAACTGAATTTGCTATGTCAAAAACGCAATAATATGTCACACTGGAGGAATTTGCACTCAGATCAACAGCACTAATAACGAAAAGGCTTTGATCTTCCACGGAAATTATCACACGGGACGCAAAGAAACGCACAATTCACAACCGGTGAAACCAACGAATTGTGAAATGTGTAGAGATAATGCAAATGGCGATCCATATCCATACTTAATATTATAAATGCGAATGCTTAATATTATAAAATTCTTTACCGTCGCAACAGAGCGTCGGCATGGCATGATTTAAGGAAAGAAAAAGAAAGAAGGTTACTTTATCCGCGGAAAAACATATCATTCCCGTGGGAAAATCGAATATGTTGCAAAATTAAATTCAGCTAGGTGGCGCCACGGTGATTCTACAAGACGGTACGATGGACGAACACAGAAGGTCAGAATATCTGGATTATTATGTCTTTTTACCAAAATTAAGATAAAAAATGTATGGATCTGTATTTTTCCACGCAGGACCGGGAAGAGAGCGATAAAAAACATAAAATTCACCAGCTGATTTTCTTCAAACGTTTTGGTGCATTGTAATTCACAGAATAGGCGATAACCTCGCAGACGATATTAAGTAATTAGTTATTGCTCCGCCTAGCCCGCAAGGGCTACAGGCGTGATTATAAGTATGGATCAGAAATACTATCACCACCTGTCACACTTTCACCCTTAACTATTACTTAACTGTGGTAGAAACAGTTCTTAGTAAGCCTTATTAATAAGCCTTAGTAATATTTACTGAACGGAAATGAATACAGTTCTTATATGTGGTTATGAATGAATCGGTATTACAATAAGAAAAATTGTGCAAAATTATAAGAAAAATATTTTTTGGGAGTTCTTATTAACTAACGTGTACATAGTTTAAATTAATTCCGCTAGATGTCGTTACTAGGTTTTTAAAACGCGGTAACGAAACGTTTCCTGACATGTACTTAACTCCCGCCGTTGATCCGAGCGTCAACTTATAGTGCATACGGTACCTATATGCTTAAATTGTTTCTATTTCGTAGCTTATTCGACTACCTGCTTTCGATTTCGGTTGTTTATTATTTGCTTTGTGATTTGGTTAAGGTTGAATGGATTTATATTGGCTTTCATTTTCGGATTTGTGTATTTTCTTGGATCGGTTTTGTTGATTTGGTTGGTATTCCTTTATACATATTTAGCCGTGTAGTGGCGGTTGAGAATATCCACTAACCCCATATCTTCCTGTGGGTGTCGTAAGAGGCGACAGAGGGACACAGAAAGGAGATGGGCAGCAGCATCTTCCTAATAACAACAATAACATAATAAAAAACTGCAATTGCCAACCCGCTCGCCAAGCGTGGCAACTATAGCAAATATCCCCCCATGAGAAACGACACAAATAAACAGCCCCCAGTCCCCCGGCGGCCCCGCTATTCCTGGCTACGGTGGCGACCATGGTAACGGCGGGGCAGGGGGGTGCTAAGAATCTCCGGTGGAGGTTCAGTTGCCACCTACGACGACTTGACCTGGCAACGTATAACACACGCACCCAGAGGACTGACGAGAAGATACTGGAGCTGGAAGAAGAGGTAGAAAAGTTGCGCTGGCATATTATTGGATTATCTGCGGTCCGAAGAGAGGGGGAGGACACGGTAATCCTCGAGTCCGGCAACTTGTTCTGTCACCGGGAGAGCGACCATCTGTCCCAAGGAGGTGTCGGATTTATCGTCCACAAATCTCTCGTCAACAACGTTGTAAAGATTGGGAGTGTGTCAACGAGGGTCGCGTACCTGATACTCAGAATCACCAAACGGTATTCGCTGAAGGTCATACAGGTCTACGCACAAACCTCGGCACATCCCGATGAGGAGGTGGAGGAAATGTATGAGGATATTTCTAGAGCCATGCATTCCTCCAAAACCCACTACACGGTGTTGATGGGAGACTTCAACGCAAAACTAGGCACAAGAGAAGGCGGTGAGCTGAAGTTAGGGAAATTTGGAGTAGGGCAACGGAACCGTAGGGGCCAGCAGCTGGCTGACTTTATTGAGGAAGAGGGACTCTTTATGATGAACTCTTTCTTGCAGAAGCGGCCCTACAGGAAGTGGACCTGGTCGAGCCCCGACGGTTCGACAAAAAATGAGATTGACTTCATTATGACAACCAGACGCCACCTGTTCAGTGATGTCTCAGTGATCGCAAGGGTGAAAACCGGCAGCGATCACCGAATGGTTAGAGGCACACTGAACCTAAACGTTAAGTTGCAGAGGTCTCGTCTAATGAAGTCAACGCTCCGTCCCCCCTCGTGCTCTAATCCAGAATCCCGAGACTTTTCAGCTCGAGTTACGTAACCGCTTTCAGTGCCTAGAAGATTGCAATGCAGTGGACGATATGAATGACAAGCTCGTAGAAACTTTCCATGCGGTCGGAGCTAAGTTCTGTAAGACCCGCCGCAGAAGAACACAAAAACTCTCCGATCACACTCTTAATCTCATGGCTGTTAGACGGGAGATGAGACAACTTTAATACTGCTCGTATTAAAGAAGCGATCGAGCGGAACCAGGGCTCCAAAGTCTTTGCCAGAGATCTGTCTGCCAGAAAGAGCCAACTGTCAAAGCTGAAGACTGAGTGTGGCAGCATCGTTTCCGGGACACCTGAGATTTTGAGTGAGATTGAGAGGTTCTATGGACAGCTGTACACATCATCGTTGGAGCCACACGCAAGTATGAGTAACGATACAAGAGCAAGTCTTACCCGACACTATTCCGATGATATCCCGGACGTCAGTCTGAGCGAGATTAGAATGGCTCTCCAGCACCTTAAAAACGGCAGGGCCCCAGGCGAGGATGGAATTACAGCGGAGCTTCTGAAAGCGGTTGGAACACCGGTACTTGAAGTCCTTCAGAAGCTCTTCAATTCCGTCCTCCATGGTGGCACTACTCCGGAGGCGTGGAGCAGAAGTGCCGTGGTCTTGTTCTTTAAGAAAGGCGACCACGCTCTCTTGAAGAACTACAGACCGATTTCCCTTCTGAGCCGCGTCTACGTGCTGTTTTCGAGAGTCATTACGAATCGTCTCGCACGCAGACTCGACGACTTTCAGCCTTCCGAACAAGCCGGTTTCCGAAAAGGCTTCAGTACCATAGACCACATACATACCCTGCGGCAGATTGTACAGAAGACCGAAGAGTACAATCTGCCACTTTGCCTGGCGTATGTGGACTATGAGAAAGCCTTTGATTCCGTCGAAATTTGGGCGGTGCTACAGTCCCTTCAGCGGTGCCAAGTTGACTGTCGGTATATCGAAGTGCTGAAGTGTTTGTACAGTAGGGCTACGATGGCTATCCGAGTACAGAACCAGAGCTCGAAACCTATCCAACTGCAGAGAGGTGTAAGACAGGGTGACATTATATCCCCGAAACTCTTCACCGCTGCGTTGGAAGACGTTTTCAAGCTACTGGACCGGAAAGGATACGGTATTAACATCAATGGCGAGTACATCACTCACCTTCGATTTGCCAACGATATAGTCCTTATGGCAGAATCGCTGGAGGACTTTAGCACTATGCTCAATGACCTCAATGGTGTCTCCCAACGGATAGGTCTTAAGATGAACATGGACAAAACAAAGATTATGTTCAATGTCCATGTCACACCTATGCTGGTAGTTGTGGGGAGCACTATGCTCGAAGTTGTTGACGAGTACGTTTACCTGGGACCAATATTCCGACTAGGTAAGTCCAACTTCGACCGAGAGGTCAATTGACGGATTCAACTCGGCTGGGCAGCGTTCGGGAAATTACGACACATCTTCTCGTCAGATATACCTCAATCTCTGAAAACTAAAGTGTACAACCAGTGCGTGTTGCCAGTGATGACTTACGGATCAGAGACGTGGTCCTTCACTG